TCTGATGAACCTGCCGATGTAGGGTTCTGGTCTCGTTTTCGTGGCGTTTGTTTTGTTTTATTATGTAAATAGCACTGGGCGCGTCTCGGACCATGGTATGTCACGCAGGAAGCGTTGGGCAGGGGCGTCACCCGCGGCGGGAGCTTAGGGTTTTTGACCAATTGCTTCGGGTGTGTAATGGCCTGTCCAAATCTGTCCTGCCTTGGTCCTGCCCTGATAGTGCGGCCGTTGGAATCCTTCGTGATAGCGACGGTTTCTTTTATGTTTTGAGTTTGTAGGCGAGGGTTTTTGATCCGGATGGCCGAGTTTTTCCCTTGCACCCGTTGTTGTATGAGTAACTTAAGTAGATCTGGAGTATCCATGCCCCACTGATGGTTTGTCAATAGCTTGACGAACCGGGGAGGGTGTTCGTGTGTCTGGATACGAGCATGGTAGATCTGCTAGCAGCACGGGGGGGTACGTAGACAGGAGCATGCGTATGCCTGAAGAAGGCTACTATGTGTGGGCCCCCTTCCCCGAATTCGGGAGGGCCACTTCTTCCCTTCCTTTCCTCGCTCCCGCGGGTGCCTAATCAGAGAGAGTTAAAGCGTGTCTTCTCCTCCCAAGTACGGACATACCAACACCGCCGACGTCAATCACAGGCGCCGTCGACGCTGTTCGTCCATGTCAAGAGGACGACCGCCTGGAACAAAGGGGTCGCGGTGAAGAAATCCAGACCGGTGACCTTCAAACGGGTAGCCCATGTTCCACTAGAGGGCCCTGTAGGCCAGGGGGGAGCCCCACACACCCCCAAGTACCAAGGTCGGGTTAGCCTGCGACCACGGGAATTGACCGCGTCGAGTGTTGGATCAGTACGGACATACGAAGGTACTGGATCGAGAGAGATCGGAACGGTTTTTAATGTGAAGATAACAACAACAACAACAACAACAACAACACAACAAGTTCGGGGCCGAGTTTCGGCGCGTATGTATGCGAGTGGCGCGTTCCCTCAACGGTAAAGAGGTAGGGAGGCGGGAAGCGGGATATAGGGGGTGATGGGCGCGTGCTCTTCTCCTTGCTTTCGCATGTCCCCCTTCCCACCCGATGCGTAAGTACCAAGTATTAGGCCCGGGCCGTGACGTTGTGCGTCGGCGGTATGTAAAATTTGGCGATTTTGTCTGGAGCTGACGGCGCTTCGTGTTGCTACTCCGGAACCCACGCCGCGCCAGGTTCGTGATTCACATCGGATTTGAACCCACAGGCGGTCACTATATCACATACCGACATCTGCACGGTTCCCGTTGAGTTTGTGCCAACGACTCTTTGGTGACGGAGGTGAGTACTAAATCGATGCGGCCTCCTTGAATCAGAGCTGTCCCACCAGGTTCTCCACCACACAGCTCTCGAGCGATACTTAGGCAGGGAGTGACATCGCAGAAATGGAGCCTTTTTGTTTGAGGTCCTTGCTAACACAGCGCGCGAGCCTTGTTCGCTCAGGTAAACGAGGCCCGGGCCTTTGAACAAAATCAAGCTTGTTCTTCCTCGCGCTGGACGGAAGCGACGGCGAGGGCGTTGCCGCCGGGGTCGGGGTCTTCCTCGACGGGGCTGCCAGCGGCGTGGTGGGGGGCGCGGGCGGACTGGCGCCGGACGGCATGCAGGCGCCAGGATCAGAGGGCGGGGAGGTAAGTAAGACCTATTTCGAAAGGGAATTTCTTTGGGAGCCGCCCTCGTGCTTGCCTAGCGTCGTAGCGCCCGAGCGAATGTTGCTCCAAAAGACTCGGTGTCAGGATTGGCACGTCGGCAGAAGTATATTTGCCCGACGCTGTCGATGGGCGTCGCTTTCTTCCCCCTCTTTGTTTCTTCTGTGTGCACTCGAAACTAGGCCTTCCATGCACTTCACAGCGCCCTCTTTGGATCGTTCTGCGATGCAACCTTCCTAGGGAGACAGCGGTGGTGACAGGGAGGATAGTGGCGATAACAGCAGCAGCGCGGAGGTAATATGTTTGTCCTGTGCCCATGGGGGGAAAGGAATGCATAGGGCTGGGCAGGCGGCCTTGATCTTCTCGTAGCCGCAGCCGATGTGGAATGATTGGAGTGGATGCCCCGCGCCAAGGTTTGTGTTTCGTCGCCGGCGCAGCTGGTTCTCTTTGTTCTCCTACGGTTGTTGTTGATGCTGTAGACGGTGGTGTTGGTCGTTCGTCTTTACCTCCGCGTCTCGGTGCCTGCAGAGGGCGCGAGCGCGGGGGGGGGAAGGGGGGTACTCAGTGTCATACATGTCGCACAGACCCACGAAGCCAGGACGGAGCACGCCGTTTGTTTTCCGCGGGACTAGGCCCGCATTCACATGGCGCCAAGAACACGCCAGGTCGCGGCGGCTGCACACTGGGAAGGGGGCAGTCTCGCGGTCTGCGGAGTGGCCCTGCCCTTTTGTGTTATTTTACGATCTTTTGTCGACCTCCCAGCTCTCAGGCCATGTTCTTTCAGCGAAGATGGTTGGGGGGTGCTCTCGTCGCGAGTGTCGACTGCCCGGTGCCCGACGACCGCCGATACGATGCGCCGCACGTATGCGTGAGGCCGTAAACGAGACGTCCCGTGTCTGCGTTGTCGTTTAGCCGAACAAAACGTACTGTGAAATATCGGTTGAGCACCTGATAGAGACAGTTCTTCCGGGGACGACGCCGAATTCGACGAAAACAAGAGTCGCGCACGCACGCACAATGCGACAATGCCAAGTTACCTCCCTCCCCCCGCCTTCTCCCCTTTCCGTTATCATCGCTCTCGCACCAGAAGTGCGGAACTGCGGCGGCGGCGGCGGCGGCGGCGCTTCCCAAGCGACAACGCGTCGGCGGCGGCGGCAGCATCAGCGGGGGCGCCAAGCACCACAAGTCCGGCGGCGGCTCGGGAGAGACCACGAGCGAGGTGATGCTTTGTGTGTGCTTGTCGAAGAAAAGAAAGGGTGCCCCTTCAAATGCTTTCCCCTCACAAACAACCCGGTAGAGCGGCTGTCACTGCCCTGTGGTTGTTGCGTCTTTTTTGTTTACGGCTGTTGCGTTATTCCCTCATTTTCTTCGTCACTTGTTTTCAGCGCGTCCCCGCAAAGGTAGGGAGACCCTCGCTGTCACTCTCCTGCCTCCGAGGTTGTGTCGAAACGCAAACAGATTCGCCGTGCGCCCTTAGCTGCCTGCCCCGTGCATCCGGACACGCACTTGGCGTTGTTTCACCGCGACGGTTTCATGAACGAGCGTGCGCAAGTGCACCCCCCCGTTCACGCCGAAAGTATTGAGCACGCAGTTTTTTCAAACGGCTCGCGCGCTCTCAAAACGCGCAAGACCTGATTACAGCGTCGACAAAGACGGCCTCGTCGGGCGTCGGCGGTCAAGGGTAGAAATAGGGTCAAGGTCATGTTTTTTTTGTCGAGAACAGCCCGCGGCGAATGCCTCATACAGACCAGCCGTCGGTCAGACATACACCCGTTTGCTTCATGGGGCCCTGGCGACGCATCCCTATCAACACGCACACACACATTCATATGTCTTTGCTCTTCCCCTTTCCCCCGCGACATCCTTCCCGCCGGCTGCGTCACGTTACCACCCCAGAGCAACCACGACAGGGGCGCCGCCCTCTCGCCTGCCCAGGCAGATGCCATACAGCCTCTCGAGTGCGACCCGGAGTGGTTGTTTCTGCGTTTGTATTGACGACAGGAAGGTCACCCCGGCGGCGATGCAGGAGGCCCGCCGCTTGTTGGAGAACCCCCGCGAGTTGCACGGTCTCCGGAACGAAGCTCTGGACCACCCCCGAGGCTACCGGGGCACCAGATCGGCGGAGGACCTCGACCGCCACCAGCTCCGCAACCTGGTGGGCGCCGCCACCCTACCCGACAACGGCCTGGTCAAAATCCTCGGGTTCTTCCTCGGCGACCTGCGGGCGCTAGAGAGCGCGTGTGCCGAGGCGGAGCTGCAGGGGCTGGTGGAGTTGAGCAAATTCGTCGGCGACCGGGGTGTCGATGCGCCGGTAGTTCACGACATCCCGGCTTTCGCGGGCGACCCGGCTGCCTGGACAGCTCCGATCCCCTTGGAAGCAGGGGATGTGCACCCAGTAACAGAGGCGCGCGTTCTTACCACAATGAACCCATCACCACCACCAAACCACCGGGAAGGTGTCCCAAGCGGCCAGCAACGTCTCGTCCTTGGAGGGTGGGCCGGCCGGGCACGAAAAACGACCGGGGGCATCCTGCGTGGAGGTGGAGGGGGATCGGAACGAGTCCTCGGTGTCCGCGATCCCCCACTGCGCTGCGCTGTCACAGCTACGCCTCCAATTCCGTCAAGCAGCCGTAGCGGTCGAGCGCTCGTCCGGGCTCGGTCTTTCCTTCATCGAGCATGCACCAACGGGGGAACGGTCACCGACACGCGCGTCGGCGAGATGATGTTGGATTTTCTAGGCGAAGAGATCGAGATTCACGCCGCGGCCAACGGCGGGCCTACGGTGAACGGCATCCGGCGGTGTGACGAGCTGGAGGAGGCGCGCGACCAGGGTCTTCTCCAAATCCGCGAGGTGGCGGGGCGCGTGGGGCGGGAGGTTCGGGGTAAACACGTCCGGACCCGAGACGACTGCGCCGCTGGAGGTATGTACGTGCAGCAATCGGTGTCTCGGAGCGACCGACGGTTCGTTGCTCCTGTTGCTGCTTATATTGTTGTTGTTGATGTTGTTGTTGATGTTGTTGTTGATGATGATGATTAAACGGCCTTGGTCGAGATCGATTCTCGCATAGCTCCTTACATAAGACCAGCTCGTGTTGGCGCCAACCTCTGCGTTACCTCGCTCACCGCCGCCCCGTCCGCCCCGCCCCCACTGCCCCTCTTGTGTTTTCGATTGGCGGCGGTTTGGTTGAAGCGTTATCAGGTAGGTGCCGGTGTGGAGGATTGTCGTTGTTGCTAGCGTCTATTTTCTTGTTTGTTTCTGTGTTGAGGATTGCTCTCGTTTCTCCTTGTTCGGTCCTCGTCTGCGCCATGCATCCAAACCTGCAGGTAACGCAAGCTGGACCGGCCGCTCGAAGGGGGTCAACGAGGAGGAGCCCGAGGCAGCCAAGCGGGAAGCTGAGGCGGCCCATGCTCGGGCGCAGGAGGAGGAGAAAGCCAAAACGGCGCAAGCCTTGAGAGCAGCGACCAACCGCGTGGAGATGGCCAAGACCGTCAAGAAGCGCCGGGGCACGGGCGGTAAGATTGCCGCCGGCGTTGCATTCGTTCGAACCGGGATCCTATTCGTTGTGCATATGCTGTTGCTGCTGTTCTTGGTCGTTGATGTTGATGATGTTGATGATGATGATGCTTAGAGGGAATGCTTAGAGGGCCTTGCTCAAGAACGATTTCGGTTGACTCCTTCCACCAGACGTGGCTCGTGTTGGCGCCAACCTTTGCGTTACCTCGCCGACGCTGGCATTTTGCCCCGCCTCCCCCCCTCCCTCGAGTAGATCATGTTGTGCTGGGTGGAGAATCCTCACTCCGCGCAACGGGGATGATCGCACCACGTTGTCTTAAAATGGTCAAGCACCCTCGAGGCAGTTACACAGTGCTTACAACTGTCTCTGGAAGTGAAGCACCAGAAAATAAATTAAGTCGTACACGGCTGTCATCCGTACGCAAGAAAGTAAGCACGAGATGCCGAACACCCTTAGCAGGATGCAGCGCACCCTTCATGCGACTCGCCGAATATCTCACGGCGCTTCGCGCTTAGTGATGTGAGAGCCTGGTCCGGTGAGAACCCGGTGTGCTTCGTCCCGGCTTTGTAGGGATGCGAGGTCAATGATCTAACGACTACGGCATGCACGACTATGAGTACACCCCCCCCCCCCCCCCCCCCC